TCATTAATGAAGATATTAAACAACACTGGTTGCAGTACAGACCCCTGTGGGACACCACTTGTCACTGTTTTCCATCTGGACATTGAGCCATTGACCACTACCCTCTGGACACGACCATCCAGTCAGTTCCTTATCCACTGAACAGTCCACCCATCAAACCCATATCTCCCCAATTTAGAGAGAAGGATGCTGTGGAGGACTGTGTCAAAGGCCTTGCAGAAGTCCAGATAGATGACATCCACTGCTTTCTCTTGTCAACTGATGTAGTCACACCATTGCAGAAAGCCACTATATTGGTCAGGAAGAATTTACCCCTGATAAAGCTGTGCTGGCTGTCCTGAATCACCTCCTTGTCCTTCACATGCCTTAGCATATCTGCTAGGAGGATCTGTTCAATGATCTCCCCAGGCACAGAGGTGAGGCTGACAGGTCAGCAGTTCCCAGGGTCTTCCTTTCTACCCTTTTTAAAAATGGGTGTAACATGTCCTTTCTTCCAGTCACCAGGGATCTCACCTGACTGCCATGACTTTTCAAATATCATGGAGAGTGGCTGGCAACTACCTCCGCTAATTCCCTCAGGACTCTGGAATGCATCTCATCACATCCCTTGGACTTGTAAATCTTCAGGTTCCTCTGATGGTCACAAACTTTGTCTTCACTTACACTAGTGTGGGGTGTCCTCGTTTGAGCCAGGAGGAAGCCATTTTTCCTTTTACTGATTTCTTTTTCCTTCAGTAAGCTTTCTTTTAACTAGTAGCAAAGTGTTTCAGCTTGGACTGATAACAGCTGGAATGTTTTTCTAACTGCTGGGAGTCCAAGGTCACATCTTTGTCCTGCCGGCTCAGATACTACTGGGAGATCTATGACCCCCCATAGGAGGTCGAACTAGACAGACAACAAAATCGGCCAGAGATATTCCATTCCATATATCTACGTAAGCTCAGAGGAAGGTCTGAGATCACAGAAGACAACTTCCTTCCTGCTTCTTCTTCCCTTCTCTTCCGTCCATGGCTGGCATCCAGGGAGGACTCTGTCCATCCATCACTGTTGTCCCCCAGGCTGGAGCTCTCCTGACCCTCATCACTCTGTGCTCTCTAGCAGCTCCAGGACTTTTTGAGACTGTTCACAGCTCAGGATAGTGCTGTGGGAATTGCTGGGGGTGGGAGGAGGCAATAATAGTTTTGCACATTTCCTGAACACATTTGTATATAATTGTATATATTTTCTTTTATCATCAGTTTTTAATTAAAGCTGTGTAGTTTAGTTTTCAATCCAGTAAAGTGTCTATCAATCTCTCTCTCCTTCCCTACCTGGATGGGAGGGGGAGGGGATCGAGAGCATTGTTGTCAAACTGAGTGAAACCATGACAGGGGTACTTTGTCTCTCTGGTCTCCATCTTGTGAGCCATCAATGTGAGAGTTGTGAGGAGAGGGGTTGCCAGTGAAGACTGAGGCAAAAAAGTTGTTGAGAATCTCAGCCTTCTCCTTATCTGTTGTTACCAGTTTACCATTTTGGCTCATCAAGGGGTGACATGCTTTCTTTAACCTTCCTTTTCTGGTTTACATACCTGTAGAAGCCCTTCTTGTTTTCTTAACATCTCTCGCCAAGTTCAGCTCCTGCTGCACCTTGGACTTCCTGACATCGTCCCTACATAACCGAGCAGTGTCCCTATGCTCTTCCCAGGATATTTGTCCCCTCTTCCACTGCCTGTGTAGGTCCATCTTGCCTTTTAGTTTGACCAGCAGGTCTCAACTCAGCCATGCAGGTCTCTTGCCTTCCTTGCCTGATTTCCTACACCCTGGGATTGAGACCTCTTGTGCCCTATGGAAAGCATCCTTAAAGAGCAGCCAGCTCTCTTCTGATCCCTTGTCCTTGAAGGCCACTTTCCATGGTGTCCTATCTACTAACTCCTTGAAGAGCTGGAAGTTTGCTTTCCTAAAATTCAGAGCCTCTTACCACTTAGGACAGTGAATTGCACCAGTGCATGATCAGCGCAGCCCAGGTGGCCTTCAACTGTGGTATCCCTGATGAGTTCACTTGCATTTGTCATTGTCAGGTCCAATAACACATCCCTCCAGGTAGGACTGTCAATTTATTGACTTAAAAAGTTGTCACCGAGGCATTCCAGGAGTCTCCTGGATTGCCTACAGCATATCCTTTTTTCTTGCTTTATAAGATGGACTGGAAATTCCTGATTATCTTTCCAATTTTTATGCTTTTAACTATAGTCTTTTCTTAGTGTGAAAATCCCAGCCATCTTAGGCACACTTTCCACAACTAGATATATCCTATATGTATTCATGTGAGCCATTATTTCAACTTCATTTTAAATTAGCATGTCACATGGTATTTTTTTTTAGTGACGTACACAATGATCAGTGAGAATTTACATGAGTTTTACTCGCAAGCCCAGCTGACAGATTTCATTTGGACCATAGGAGATTGAAAGAATGGTTCATTGTCCCGGCCCCTCCTCCACCATCCCTCCTTGTGTTGCCTTCAGTTTTTAAAAATATAGTGTTATCACATTGGTCAGGTACCTCAGAATCATGGAGTGTCTTTGCAGTCCACTCAACCTGACTAACTGGATTGTGTATCAAAAATTTTGTTGCTTCAGTTGCTAACTTGTTTTTTTCAAGTCCCTGAGAAGCAAAGGAAAAAACAGATCACATTTCAGTAACCCACTTCTCCACATTTACCTTAGCTTGCATGCTACAGCAACAATTCACTGTTTATTTCTATTCTTTGGTTTCTGTCTCTCAAGATTTTCTGAGTAATGAGGAGGTCATTTCGCACCTCAGCAGTTCAAATAATGATGCTGTTTTGTTTCACACCTCAGGGGTTCTCACTAGGAGATTTTTTGTAAGAGGCCATATCAAAGGTCTACAGAGTTCTAAATGCAAGATGCCACAGGCTCCTCTTCTTAAGTCTAAAATCTTTGCTACTTTAAGGAAGATCAGCACTGTTAGGTAATTTGGAACTTGTCATTTTGATCCTACAAAGGATACACAGGCAGTAGCATCCAGAATCACTCAACAGACTGACAGTGCAACAAGCCCTACTAGAGGGATCATGTGGTTTATCCTAGTGAAGACAGAGCAATCTGCATTGTAAGTATACAAATTATTTACTATGTAAAAATGTCCAGTGCTGGAACTCAGTTAAAATTCTCCCTTAATACAAAAAAATCAGATAACTTCATTTACTCCTTGAATAAAAAATTTCGATACAGGGAGGACATACTGATAAATATATTCTCACACACAGAAAAACACATTCCTGAGCATCATCTGAAATATCAAACGGCAAGATGAACAAATAATTCGTTACTCTACTGCTACTATTAATTTTGAAAAATAATGTGACATCTGACCTTAGGATTCAGTAGTTCAATATAAGCAATATTCCTAGCTTCAGCAAAGAAAGTTCTTTCCTATGAGGAATTAAAATGATTACTCAGTTGTTAATAGAACAAAATACTTCATGCTGCAGAATTAAAACTTTGCAACTGCAGTCATTCTTTAAACCAGCTTGCAGAGGTTGAATAATGAGGATCTTACTTTCATGCAAGTGAAGTGCCTGCATTTCAGGTAGAACCATCTCCATTTTGAATCTAGATTAAATAATTTGTCACTTGTTGGTTGTTTTTTTTTTTCCCAAAATAGTTAGCATTTCAAAATGGAAGTGCTGTCTCAAGTCTAGAAATACTTTACACGTATGCTGAAAAACAAAATTCTGTTTAACAAACTCAATAAAGTCATGAGGTTTGATAGGCTCTTCTAAATTTCAGTAGGTCATCGTTTAGAGAGGGTCTGAGTCACAGTCTGTAGAAAAATTCTCGAGACCTTTTATTTCTTAACTGGGTAGCACTCACGCCCTTTGTTCTCAAAAACCCCAATGTTTAGCTCCACTATGCCATTTTCTTTCTTAAGAGTGCAATTGCATGAACCTCAGCTCTTGCATGATGGGTTTTTTCTATTACCAATTCACCAGTTTTAGTATTTTACCACCTCCTCTACATGCTGTCCCAATCCTCTCCTTCTAAAGCTGAGTCCTCAAGGCAGAAGCCACTGCATTCTTCTGAGGATTCCTGTTGGTAGCTCTTCTAGATAAGCAGGACAGACCACATAGGAGGACTCCTTCCTTCAGACAGTTTTCTCTTTCATTTCATATTCCTATCCCAGGAAGACTACGTATCCCTTGAGTAAATGAGAGATCAGAGGACATGCAACTTAGTACCAAAAAAGCTTGAAAGCAATTTATCTACAGTTGGGGTGGGGGGGAGATACAATCTTTCTAGAGGGACTGAAGGTCAAAGACGAAAGTATCCAGTCATGTATATCTTCTAGATCTCAATCCCTACAAGCAGCTGTCTCAGACAATGAATAAAACGACATAATGTCACCCTCAAACTGAAGAGGGACTACAGATAAAAATGTTTCCACTTACAACATTTATGGATTCTTAGACCAGAAACTTCCCTCAGAAATTATAGCAAATTCTCCTTGAAGAATCAACTGCAAGTACGACGAGAACACACACAACTCAGAACACAAGCAGTTTTCTCCAAGGGAACTCCACCAGAAGCATAAGCTGCATCTTCTGGTAACCTGAACACGAGAACAGTGATTACTGAACTTCTTTCTCTAAGCTCATTTGCAAAGCATATCCCAACTACAATGCTATTCTTTTACCATAGGAGGAAAAGCTGCTAGTCTACCCTGTAAGAAGTGACAAATGTAAAAGGTCCTGACAGTTTCTCTACAAATATGTTTAACTGATTCCTTAAAGACCATAAAAACTATTTATTTATTGAACTATTCAATTGTAACTGCAGTTTTGCAGCTACTCTAGTCCTACCACCCTTCTGTAACAGCACAAGGAAGGAGAGGTTTGCATCCACAAACCGCCAGCCACTTACGAAAGTTTTAATTGAAATTTCAAGACTAAAGACGATAAACCAACTCTTTCCTTAAAATAAGAAGGAAAGCGTTTCAAGCATGAAACACGGAGAAGAACCAACAACAGCTGATGGACACGGCTCGAGCCCAGAAGGTCCAGACTGACGCCAAACTGAGCCGCGCCACCCCCAGGGACGAGCGGCACCGCACACAC